AGTAATGTGATGTAAGTGAGCAGTGTAATGTAAGGGAGCAATTCTGTGTAAGTGAGTAATGTGATATAAGTGAGCAGTGTAATACAAATGAGCTGTATAATATAAGTGAGTAATGTTGTAAATGAGCAGTGTAATATAAGCGAGTTGTGTAAATAGTGATTTATGTGACTTCAGTTATTTCTTATTAAACTGAAATTGATGTGACTTCAGTTATTTTATTAAACTGAAATTGAAGTAAAAAGTTTTTTGGAAAACCACATCCTGGCTTCAGTCTTCATTTGCTGCTGAATTGTGTTAATACGCATATAGAAACATAAGGAGAGCAAGAGATTGATTGTTAGAGTCAGTTTATTTTTAATTAATAATACTATAGTAGTTCAGTTTCCTTTACATCTTTAACTAGCTGTTAATTTATCAATTGAATGGGTGACCTATCCTCATTAATCATGCAAACACTTGCCCCCAGAGAGAATTGGCAGGAGCCGCCACTGCACTGGAATAAGAGCACAAACGCACACAAGCAATACTGCTCTTACGAAAATTAGCCAGGGTTTTACTACAAATAAAATTAAAAGAAAAATGGTAAATGTAGTTTAACCATATTAACCACAAATTAACCCAGGTTTTACTACACTAACCATAATTTAACCATGGTATTTGTAGTGAAATTGTGGTTATACAAATGGTTATCCGCAAAAAAAAAAAAAAAACATGGTTACACTTTTACTATATAGTCAAAAACTTAGCTATCAGGCTAATCGGGTATCTGTATGCTATGCTAGTACATAAGCTAACTAATACAGATATCAGGTTTGCCAACTTTCAAGTTTATCATCATTTCAACCATATACAGCCAGTTAGTAGTACACAGTGAAACAAACAAAAAACAAAATCTCACTCCAAGCTGAACTCGAACATTGACAACCCTGATGTCTGTATTAGTTAGCTTCTGTACTAGCATAGCATACAGATATCCGATTAGCCTGAGAGGTAAGTTTTTATGTTACAGGAATTTGCACCTACCATGTTTTCACAATTATTTTTAATTTAATAATGGGTTAAATTTAAATGTTAAATGTCCAAAATTTTATTTTATAAATAAAACTAATTAATGACATTCTAGGCCGGCTAGGGGTTAGATTTTAACCTAGCACGGACCCCCACCCTCTTGCCGTGCTTCTGCTTTCTCACGCACAGCTTGCAACGTCCCCTCCCCGGGCCACCGGCATCAGGCCAAAGTTGTTAATTCTAGGTCGCTAATCGCAGGACGTTCTTCGAACAGGCCAAAATTGTTCATTCCGGACTAGGTCGCTAAATCGCGGGACGTTCTTCGAACAGGCCAAAGTTGTTCATTCCGGACTAGGTCGCTAATCGCGGGACGTTCTTCGAACAGGCCAAAGTTGTTCATTCCGGACTAGGTCGCTAATCGCGGGACGTTCTTCGAACAGGCCAAAGTTGTTCATTCCGGACTAGGTCGCTAATCGCGGGACGTTCTTCGAACAGGCCAAAGTTGTTCATTCCGGACTAGGTCGCTAATCGCGGGACGTTCTTCGAACAGGCCAAAGTTGTTCATTCCGGACTAGGTCGCTAATCGCGGGACGTTCTTCGAACAGGCCAAAGTTGTTCATTCCGGACTAGGTCGCTAATCGCGGGACAATCTTCAAACAGGCCAAAGTTGTTAATTCCGGACTAGGTCGCTAATCGCGGGACGTTCTTCGAACAGGCCAAAGTTGTTCATTCCGGACTAGGTCGCTAATCGCGGGACGTTCTTCGAACAGGCCAAAACTGCTAATCCAGTGTTGTTCGACTGGAAGCAGAGCAAGACAGATTACTGTTATACACAGTAATTTAATTATTTCACTTAACAATAATTTTGAAAAAGCAGTGGTGTCATGCACCTCAAAAAATTAAGGTTCTGCCTAAATGTAAGCATAACAATTACAGTGTATAATGTTAAATCAGTATTTTAGAACTGCAGAATACACACAAATATCTGCATTCATCTCGAAAAAAGCGAATTTGTTCCGGATTTGAATACGATGTGATAGGATATGTTAATTATACATTATAATTAACTGCCAGAGATCGTGGTGCATGTGGAAAACAGCAGAATTGGCTCTTTGAAATATATCAGTTTATGTATCATGTGAAAAACCCAGACCCACATAAAACCTAAATTAATTTCACTGTAACTAGGCTATAATTACTTTTTAAAGTCATTCTAAAATAGGAACCAAAGCGCGATTCGCTATTAGTCCTAGAGATTCAGTTTTCTACGTATTCTGTAGTTTATTGTGAATAAAAAACATCTCTGTGGAGTTTGTCCTATGCGGAAGTAAAATTCTCACAGAAACGACTCCAGAAGCCTAAAGTAGCGTATTTATAAGTATAAAGAAAATCTAGTTTCTACATTATTTTTCTATACATTGACTCATTGGGTCTCTAACCTGCAATATGCACTTTAAACGACTTCTTGAAAAAAACAAGTCCAAATTCTCGTATAGTAAACGGACAGGGCAGTTTTACAGTTGAATAAAAAACTCCAACTCTCTACCTACCTGAAATTAATATGAAGACACTGGAAAAGAATTTCATTTTCAATGCGTTCCGGAAAACCTTCCCTGCTGAAAAAAAACAAAACAAACAATAGCAAATACAAATACCATTACAAACATTACAAACCATCAACTTTTAACCATTAAAAGAAGGTGACCAATTACCAGTAGAGACCAACAGGGACAATTACAGTTTTTCTATTAAAACATTTACAATACTCATTATAACCAGAATAACCATTACAAATTCTGTGATGGTTTCTATTAGCTTCAAAATGCGTAATGCAACGCTTGAATGTAAAAAGCCCTTGTCCGTGTTTTCGCTACTTATATTGTGGACTTAACCCATTCAACATCAAGAAACAGAATGGTCTTTCCCCCCCAAAAAAAAAAAAAAAAAAAAAAAACAGGAGCCAATTTCATTGGTTAAGGTTAGTGTTAAGTCATGTGTCTTTAGAATCATCTGCGGGGAGTTTTTTTACTCCTTCAAAATGTGTAACTAGACAGATAAACCAAGTAGGCTTACTTCATCGGCTCTAAAGCTTACATTGACGGCAGAGAAATCATTCCAGATGTTTTGAAGATAACCACTTTTTATCTGCCATTTAGTTTACAATTACTATATGGCTGTTTGCCAATATTTTCAAATTTAGAAGGAGAAAAGCAGAGCTTTTTTCTCTCTCCCTTTAACTCTTTTTTATTTGTTCGAGTCTGCAGTTTTTGATGGTGTTAAAGTTATGTTCTATTAATGCCAGAGGTTTGAGGAACTTGGGCAAAAGAAAAGCTTTTTTCCTTTTTTTTGCAAAAAATACAAAAGTGACTTAATTTTCATTCAAAACTCATTTGTGCCCTGAGGATTTTAATTTTTGGAAAAACCAATGGGGAGGTGAGATGTGGTTAGCTCACGGTTCCAGTCACTCTGGTGGAGTTGCCATTTTGGCACATTCTTTTCATGGAAAATGTGTATTGAGCAAAGGGGACTCTAAAGGTCATTGGATAATATTACTGATTGATATGAATGATTGTAAATTCATTGTTAATGTTTATGGGTACTGATCAAAAGATGCAAACTCTTTGTTATTAGGTGAAACTGAAAATGGTCAACTCTACCATGAGAAGCAACCCTAATGCTAAATTAATTATTGGTGGTGACTTTAATTTGGTCATGAATGGTTTCATGGATAGATTTCCTCCTAGAGCGAACAGCGAGTCTTGGCATAATCGATATTAGGAGGGTAAAAACAATCCCCTCAACTAAGCAGTTTACTTGGAGCAACAAAAATGTCTCATTACAATCCTGTATTGACCTTTGGTTGGTTTCTTCAGATTTAGAGCAATTCATTTTAGATACATCTATATTGCCTGCTGCTCTAACTAACCACAAACTGATTAGTCTTAAAATTGCATTATCGGGGCGGGGCGTAAGGATAATAGATTTAGTGGTGGATATTGGAAACTCAATAAATCATTATTAAACTATGATGACTTGAAATCCATTATAGAAAGACTTACATAAGCACTGGAACTGTGAAATAAACAGTGTTGGGCAAGTTACTTCCAAAATGTAATACATTATATATTACTAGTTACTGTCTTAAATTTCAGCTGAAATTAATAATTTAATAGAGAAAGGCACTTTCACTTTTGAAGATCGGGTCACTTTGAATAAACTCCAAAACAAACTTGACAAAATATATGAAGCAAAAGCCAAGGGAGCTTTTATTAGATCAAGAAAACAGTGGTTAGAGACGGGAGAAAAAAAAAAAAAAAAAAAAAAGTAAATACTTCTTTAATCTTGAAAAAAGAAGGTGGAGGTCAATGTGATTAGGAAAATGAAAATTGATGGTGTTGTTTGGGAGGATAAAAATCTTCTCATCCCATATTACAGAATTTTTTGGTAAATAATATACAAATGACTCCAATATTATTGACCCTTTTCTTATTTTAAATTATTTTACTTCAAAGAGAACTGTTAGTAATGACTTTAATTGTACATGTTCTAAAAAAATATAATTGGAAGAAGTTAAAGAGGCCATTAATAACTTTAAAAAATAATAAATCACCAGGGAGTGACGGGTTGACTTCAGAACTATAAAACTTTTCATGACCATTTATCTAAATTTTTACTGGCAGTTTATGAAGAATCATTTGTCAATGGATACTTTCCACCATTAATGAGAGAGGGTGTTATTACTCTCTAGTACCAAAATCTCAAAAATATACTCTTTTGGTCGATAATTGGAGCCCAATCACATTATTAAATAACGACTACAAAATTGTGGCATCTATTCTGGTGGAAAGGCTCAAGTATGGCCTGGATGACTTGAATGATGAGTGCCAGTCTGGGTTCATAAAGGGTCGCCACATATCCAATAATATAAGGTTAGTTCTTGATTTGATTGATTATCGTGATTTAGTTTTAGATCCTGCTCTAATTATGTTTTTAGACCAAAAAGCCTTTGATACTGTTAGCCACAATTTTATTTTTAGTGTATTACATGACTTTGACTTTAATAATTATTTTATCAATGCAGTAAAAACATTGCATGTAAGAGGAAATAGTTGCGTGTTAAACTTATATCTGGAACAACACCACAATTCTCGATTCACAGAGGAATAAGACAGGGTTGTCCTGTTTCCCCCTTTTTCTGTAAGTTACTAAAATTTTACACTTAATGAAAAACAAAAACAATGTGATTAGATTAGAATAGGGGTATTAGAATTAATGATAAAGAAATAAAAATCTCACAATACGCAGATGACACCACGCTTTTCTAAAAGATCAATCAGAAGTTCCTAAAGCATTGGAGATCATTAAAGACTTTTCCCAGGTGCTGGCCTATCTCTTAATATTTCAAAATGTGACATTGTCTTTAAAAAATATAGATAAAACAGCAATTTGTGGAATTCAGCTTAAGGATGTAATTAAGTATTTGGGTGTAAACTTTTTTTAATTCAAATATTGTCCTTACAGAACTTAATCTCAATCCTGTTAAAGACATGATTAGAAAGAAATTAAATTCTTGATTAGCAAGAGATTTGTCTCTCGCTGGTCGAGTCTTGTTGTCAAAGGCAGAGGGTCTATCAAGAGTCTCTTATCTCTTCTCTGTAAAGGATAAATTATAAAATTTTATTTTGGGGCTTCGTTAAAAGAATATAACACTGTATTTAATGCCATTCCTAGTGGTATAAAAACTCCTTTGAAAGGAGAGCAAACTTTTAATCCTATTTCTTTTTTGATGGTTGAGGACAAATTTAATAACCGCTTTTTTTCAAAATCATATCAACAGAAAATCTACTCCGTCTTCTTTTAAATGGATGTAACTTTACAATGTTCATTGGAATGTTGTTTGGTCTCTTCCACATAGATATTTATTAACAAGCAAAATAAAAGTTACATTTAAAATATTACAGATGCTACCCTTGTAATAGTGTACTTAAGTATATGCAAAATATAAAAAAAATAAATAAATAAAAAAAAGTACTTTCTGTGATATAGAAGAGACAATTATACATTTTTTTTTGTGAATGTGTTTGTTACATTTTTTTGGAATCTCAAAACAAAACAAAAATATCAGAATAGGTATTAACACTTGTGATATTTTTTTTAATTATAACTGGAGTTCCCATATTCAATATATTGTTAATCTTTTTATTATACTTGGCAATTTTTTTTATTCACAAATGTACATTTTTGGGTAAGAACCCACTACTGTAAATTTTTCTGGTTGACTATAATTCTTACGTTTTGTCTTTGGTGGGCATAAAAAAAAAAACATTCAAAAGTCAAAAATTGCTTTCACTGTTTAACCTTGTATAATTCCCCCCCCTCTGGCTCATGTTATGCTATTTATCTTTTTTTTTTAAGTTTATTTTACTTTTTTCCTTGTATTATTTTTGAGATATTTTGTCCTCTAGTGTTCTTGATATTGTAAAGTTATGTAGTTGCTATAAAGTATTTAGGCATAAAAAAAGCACATTAAACATTTAAAAAAAAAAAAAAAAAATTCTGCATAAATCTTTGCACCGTGAAATGGCCGGCCCTGGCCATAACAT